TTTTTTATAGTTAGATCTCTAGTAAGCGAGTTTGTTCTAAAGATTAATAGTATGTTTATATTGTAGTTGTTAGACGAAACTTATAGATTTTGATATTAATGAAAGTCGAAACTGGCTTCAACTTTGTAATCTAATAAGCAAAACTGAAAGACTTGTCGAAACTAATGAAAGATAGGTTTGAGTTTGTTTACAATTCCTTTTACGGTATCATGTACCGTAAGGTCATTTTCAAGGCAAAGACCCATATATGATGACTATCAGATTAAAGTAATAGTTGTTGCAATGATTAAATTTAAGTAAATGTATCTTTTATTCAATTAATACTGTAATGTTTTGTGAAGTATTTTACTTTGGGTTTCGTTCTTGGTAAATCCTATTAGCCAATCAGATCTTGTAAAATCATGAAATGATCTACAAAAATTAGCCAATCGGAATGAAGCCGCTATATCCCCGAGTAAATTAATAGCGCATATTAAACATATTATTGATCAACTAGGAGGTGGTCATTGATAGTGAGATAAAATTAATGATCAACTTCGAATAATTTTATGGTATTTTCCGGAAATTCTGTCGATGGCGCCAATTAGGACTGAAGAATTATGTAGGTAATATTATAATTCTTTGAAAGAAAAAGACCACATACTTAATAGTTTATATATATATATATTTATTTATTTAAAATAGATAATGTAATCATTTGTATCATATGATTGTTGAGATCTACGAATATGATCGACGAATGTGTATTGGTTCTTTTGCGGTCAGGCACGCTAGCACTGGCAAAGATCCAAAACCAGTTAATTTGAAAGTGGTCTAAATTTCCAAAATGAAATATTGAATTTAAAAAACTGACTATAACTCTTCTAGAGTAGAATAAAAATAACTGTACGTCTATTGGCTTGATGTTTTGAAAAAAAATAATTTAAATAAATAATTTTAAAGAATTTTATGTATCTTTTTTTGCTCGAAATTATTAAATTACCTACTTAAATTCTCTCATTATTATTATTTTTTCCTTAAACCTTTTAAAAATTCCTTTTGCCAACAATTAATACGACAAATGTATTCAACTACAGTAATCATTCTATATTGCCTGATGTTTCTTTCATTACTATGTTCAATATATGTTGCTCTGTTTTTATATCGTTCCAAAAAAAACTATTTGATCGCATTGTACTCAAGTTCTGTTGCAATCCTTTCTATTGACATAATTCTTAGCATGATATGGCAAAATAAATTGGAGAAAGCTCCTTACGGATTCTGTTTTTTTCAAGCGATATTTGTAAGACTTTTTTTCTTTATTCATATAATAATTTTTGATTCTAAGCCAACCAATTTAATTGGTAATATCCTGGGTTATTGGATATTAGCGAAAACAAAGTTTCTACTTGTACACGATTTCGATATAATGAACAGCTACTTTTTGCTGAATTATTATTATTTAAATTAATCTATTTAATATTTTATAAATATTATTGAACAGTTACACTATAATGCCATATTTCAAATGGCATGTGCATTTTGCTTTGCAATACAAACATACGCACAACTCGTCCTTTTTCATCAAGTAACTTCAAATGCATTAAAGAATTTTTTTCTATGCTTTATAATTATATATCCAATAATTATGACAAGCATACTTATTGTATTATCGATTTATTTTGATGCTGTTAAACCAAGGACCATGAATTGGTATTTTTAATTTTTTAAAATTTTAATTTATAATATTGTATTTTTGTCATTGTAATTTATAAAATTCGCTTTATAATATTAAAAAAAAAAATTCTCTATAATTTAGTGACGTAACTAATCCTGTTTGGATTAGATTATTTGGTTTTTCTGGTATTAACCAACTTTGTAGCATTCCAGGTACAATTTTAAGTGGTAAGTATTTACCCTATAAATTTACAATGATAATCTATTATCGTTATTCTTTCTATAATTGCTATAATTGGTAAATTCTAATATTCTTTTGATTTTTATAGGTCGTACCGCTTATGAAGTATATAAGCACATGCATCTACTTAAGTCTAATTCTAGTTCTTCTGTTGAACAAGTAATCACTCACGATAGTACTCTTCAGCAACCTAAATTTTCTAGAAATCCTTTTTCTACAAAAAGTAAATCTTATAATTTAACAAAAGCTGCTGCTATTCGAATGGTCACCTTTTCGCTCTTATTTGCTCTTATCAATTTTTTTGGTTGTTTTGCAAGCTTTTCAGCTATTATTAAAAATGTAAGTCTTGAAAAAGAACCCTCTACTAATGATTGGGTTGGTGCGACCATTGGAATTTTTGTATTCATTGTGTTTGGCTGGCCACACAATTTCAAGAAAGTTAAGCAAATTTGGTTAAATGGTTAAATGAATTGGTTATATTTATTGGTTTGCATTCTTTTATGTATATATGTACGAATCATCTCTGTATTCTTGGGCGGCGAGTTATTTTAAATCACAAATAAATAGATAAATTTTATTTCGAAATTTTTCGAGATTGTGAATATATAATATATAGCATTTTTTACTTTATTTTATTTTATTATTATTTTTTTTTTTTGTTTTTTTTTCATTGTCAATATACAAAATATTGCTATCTTGAATGACTAACTTGAAGTTTAAATTTATCATTCGGTATTAACTAATCTCAAACTGGTAGCTTGAGATAAAGTCGAAAATTTAGTTTTGAAGTTTAAACCAGGAACGGAATAACGGATAATTAAGTGTTTCATGAATGTATGTTTATGAGATCGTCCACAAAACCTCTTACTGTTTGAATATTTCATTTAAAACGTCAAACACTGAGTTTTATTATGTTCTAACTTTTTTTATTTTCTGTGAATAATGATAAAAAACGTGGCATGGTTTATTAATTTGCCAAATTAACTTAATGCTTGCTGAATTACATGATTAGCACAGTTAAGCAATTTCGAGTTAGGATTGTGTTACGTATGTACACATTTCAATTAATTATGTAATTTTCATCCAGATGATATGCGGCATGTATCAACCTATCGAATCAATTTTTTTTTAATTTTTGAAATTTCTCAAAAAATACTTTACAAAAATTCTGTTAAAGTTTATAAACTGATAGAATTCATCATTGAATTATATCTGGTATATAGTTATCAAGAAATATTTGCTTAAAATTTGGTCGTGGCTACTTTTCAAAGAGATAACAGAAATTTTACCAAACTTTGAACGAAGATTTCTCAATAACTACTTGATAGAATTTGATATTTATTTTTAAATAATTCTACAAGTTATAAAATACTTCTGTTGTGCAGTATAGTGATATGGGCTGAGGAAATAATTTCGGAAAAGTCAAGCTCGGGCCGACCTTTTTGCTAGTACAACTTTTCTGATCAAAATTAGTCTTCATATCTATATAAAAGTGTAAAAAAAACATTTAGTACTGCCTTGCCGAATTCCAGCAATAATAAATCATTTAGCTTTTTATTGTCGTTGAGAAATTATACCATTAGTATTTTATGTTCTATGCAGCTGAACATACCCAAACTCCACCTTTATATTCGTTATCTACCAATTTATTATCTAAATTAGCCAATTAATGAATTTCTTCTTCTTTTATCAATTAGACCAGCCCACAAAAGTGCAGGCTGAGAGTCGACTAGAGTTGCAGGTGAAACTGGTGCACCGATGGTGAAACTAGAGCTGTAGATGAAACTAATCTTCAATGGTGCATATTGGTGCACCAGTTTCCTGGTGAAATTAATTAGTTTCACCAACAGCTCTAGAGTCGACTACCCAATCATATCTGGCCGTCGGACCGGGTCAGTCTGCACCACTAAGTATGGTTCCAGAAATCTATAATCGCCAATTACAGGAAATGTTTCAACTTTCTCGTGATCGTGATTGGCCAATATAAAATTTTACATGACTTCTTAAAGCTTTTAAAATTCATTTAACAAAAGTTTTTTTTATAAAATTCCATGTGATATAAAAAAAAATCGGGTTAAGGGTGGGTTCGTAAAAGAACCCGGTGTTGGTTTTAATAATAATGCTTAGCATTGTATAATGGGAATACAAAATCATTAATTCATAACAATGGCCTTTAACATACGTAATATATTCAGTGT